TCGAAAAACCAAAAAAAAAAAAAAAAAAAAAAAAATGTAATAAAATCTCAAGCAGAAATAAATGAAACAGAAAATACAGAATAAGTATAAAACTTCAAATAATTTTTTCAAAAAGATTTGAGAAATCTGGTAGAAGTTCCATGAAGTTCTAAATTTTAGCCCAAGGGTCAGAGGAGGAGGGAAAACAGGGATGTTCATCAGTTAAGAAGATACAGAGTCAAGGCCTGAGTTATCACTACATCCCATCAATGCCACATGCTGCACATCCTGCTGACAAGGGCCACCCAAGCAGAAGCAAGTCTCTCTCGTTAGGGACTATCCTCCTGTCTCGGCTTTTCCCCACCCTTGTCTACAGCCAGTGTAAGTTCATTGTGAATGACTTACGCTCTCCTAGCCCACATTTTCATTATAAAAATGTCCTGGCTTTTAGGTACTTTTGACTTATTTGCAACTGCTGTCAGGCTTTGCTGCAGGACGTCACCCGAGGACCCCTTGTGACTAGAAGCTGCTATAGCCAAATAAGCCCCACCCTTTTATTTCATAGCTCCTTGATCTCAAAGAATTTGAGTGTGCTGGCGCATACCTGTTCTCCCTCCCTTTGGGGAACTAAGGCAGAAGAATCATGAGTTTTAGGACAGTCTGAACAACATTTTAAGATCTTGTCTTAAAAAACAGATATAAGGGGCTAGTGAGATGAGACGGATCAGAAGTCAAAAGCACTTGCTGCTCTTCTAGGGGACCTGAGTTCAATTCCCAGCATCCACATCAGGCTGCTTACAACCACCAGTAACTAACTCCAGCTCCAGGGGATCTGACATCTCTCTGGCCTCTGCATACACATGCACATAAATGCACATGGACACATAAATAAATAGTAACATAAATCTTTTTTTAAAAACAGATACAAACAATAAAATCAGAAGAAAAAACAGAAGCTCTTGGATAAAGTCAGGAATGATAAGTGGCTAACAGTATAATATTAAAGATGAGAAGACTACTGATAATCATATACTAATGATGTGAAATCTTTCAAAAGAATCCTTTCTCCCCATCCTTCAATTCTTCTCCTCTCTTTCTGTACTCTCTCCACACCCCCACCCCCACCCCAATTTCCTTTCCTAAGTATTTAGACCATCATCTGAACACTGGATTCATTTAAGTTCTCTCTGTGGCCATCCTGTTTATGTTACAGTTTTAGTTAAACCCAAGCTCTGAGCCTGGAGTTCCCAGTCCAGCTCCAAATGCAGTTCACGACAGCTCTGCCATCTCTCGAGTTGAAAATCTGGGATGTGTCTGTGAGACGTATAACAAAAGGGAGAGCCATGGGGAGTAGGAAAGATTTGGTAATAGGAAGAAAAAACATAGGAGAAAAGAGGAGACGAGGCATTTGTGAACAGAATAGTGATCAATAATAAACGCAAACTGTCTTTCAAATAGATGCTTGTCGCTCGTTCTAATCCTTTATGGGAAAATGGAATGTTTCCTCTACAGTTACCTACAATGCAGTCCATGAGGAAAGGCCAATATGGACAGTTTCCTCTTATAACTAGAGTACCAACATTGTCCCAAGCACATCTTAACACACGACACATGTAGACTGAACCCATAACAAAGCAAAGCACTTACAAGAGTTCAATTCCAATCAGCTTATTCCCATTTGTTAAACCAGTCCCTGAGATGGAATCAGAAAAGCACTCAGTGTAAATCCTTGGATGTAAGCCATCAACAGATGGCCATTTAAGACCTTACCCTCAGCCTTTATTAAGAAATCATTTAAAGTTGGTTTTGTTTTGCTTTTTTTTGTTTTTTTTTTTTTTTTTTTTTCCCGAGACAGGGTTTTTCTGTGTAGCTTTGCGCCTTTCCTGGATCTTGCTCTGTAGACCAGGCTGGCCTCGAACTCACAGAGATTCGCCTGCCTCTGCCTCCCCAGTGCTGGGATTAAAGGCGTGGGCCACCACCACTCGGCTAAAGTTTTAATACCAATGTTTGTTCACTCTTGGAAAGCTGGCTTAAAGACATTGTTGCTAAGATTTTTTTCTGATGATCCAATCCTGAGCTCTACACTGCAAGGTCTCATCAATCCTCTCTGACCTATAGCTTCCATTCCCCCAGACAAAATCATCTGTCCTTTCAACAAACTGTGGTAACAGGGCCAGTTCTTCAGGGTGTTGTCCTCAGCAGAGTGCTTCTATGTATCCTTTCCTTCCTGATAAAGCCCTCTGCATACCTGAGTGCCTCAAGAATGAACTCTGAGGTGAGGAAGGCTCTTGAGTAATCCTGATTCCTTTCTACCATCTCCCACCTACCGAATACTGGCTCTCAGGCAGTGAGCAGGGTGGACCTTACCCCTAGTAACTGTTGCAATGATTTTAAAGCCATTTATATGAAAGCACTTAACTTGCCTACCCAGAGACAGCAGCTCTGGTGGTCACACATCTTTATATTTTTCATGTCAAGCTAACAGGAAGGAAACTAACACTTCCTACAGAACTTGCTGTGGTGCTAGGCTTTGGGTTAAGACTTTTCACTAATGCACAGGGAAGGCAGTCATTAATTTAAAAAATTATAGCAAACATAACAAAATTCTGGTTCTAAAACAACTTGGTGTCTTGTGTGGAGTGGTTTTCTTTGATCAGAAAATAAAAAATATCTGAGGTTTTCTGCCAGTCTTTCTGTATTTACTACTAAAAAGCTCATATTTGAGTGTGTAATGTTGAGTCATAAGCATCTGTTTCTTTCAAGTCCTGGCCTGGTCACCATCCTTCTCCTTATAGGTTGCTATGATTTGTTATATTTAGAGTGGTTTGTCATGTGTCTAACTTTATTGCACACTGACTCAAACCCTTTTAAGAAAATATTACATATATCACATTAAAAGCAAATTACATGTGGTGGCATATACTCATAATAGCACTGCTACAAGTTCAAGACCAGCCAGGGACACACAGTGACTTCAGGCCAGCCTAGGCTGCACAATGAGCCCCTGTCTCAGAGACAGATAACAAAATAAGTTCACAAACATGTTCCAAGATCTCATTCAGTTTGACCTCATAATTATTTCAACATTAACCAGACATTTTCCTATATTACCTCATGTTTTTCAATTACCACTTCATCAAAAACATTGATATGAATATTATCTTTTATTTTTGATAAACTAGAGAAGCTGTAATCATGTCCTGGTGATCTGAAAACAAGAAAAGCACATTTGAATGTTTAAGGCTTTTTTTTCAAAATCTACTTATTTTGTAAGCATGTAATTGATAAAGTATAATAAATTGACTATGATCTTTTCCTTTGTAAAGTTTAAACTTGGAAAAAGCTATATTCCTTGAAGCCTGGCTTCTACTATTCATTAGAACTAAAGTAAGTATCATAATCTACCTTACATTTCTCTTAAGATGAAAATAAAAATAGACAACAGAATGGGTCCAGCTGGAGATCATGTTAAGGGAAATGAGCCAGGCAGAGAAAGACAATGCTTTGCACTATGAATCCTAAAGAGAAGACTCATTGAAATGACCAAGATTCCAGACAGTCCATCTTTGGAGTTAACAATTCCCGGATCAGTTGGTGATCACCGCATTGCACCAGAGTGTGTACTACCCTTCTTTAGTTCTGTGCAACAACTAATACAAAACATGGGCATTGCTGTGGGATTTTAACTTTTAGAAAGGTAGTATGCCTCACTGAAGAAATTCAGGAATTAGTTCCAGGAGGTTCAGGTCAACTAAGATGTCCTGGCAGCAGATAAAAAGGAAATGCTTGCCCTGGTTGATGTGGCTCTGCCCAGCATGTAGCCTTCCTGTTCCTGGTCTCACTCTCCTCCTTTCCCCACCTTTAAGAGCCCTTTGTACCTCTGTCCCCAAGATAGAGCTTTGAGGATGACAGCTCCCCCATCCCAGGATGCCCACAACCCTGAGCTTCCAACTATTGGCTTCTGAGTGGCAAGCAGTCCAGCCCTTGCCTGGTAATATTTTTACTTTTTAACCATACAATTGCCACTGCTACTGACATTGTTAAAGCTTTCTTTTTTTTTTTTTTTTAATGAAGGAAGTACTACTTCAACGAATCTCCAATAATACCCATACTTTTCTGATAATAGGTGTAGCAGTGACCACCGAAAAACACTGGCTGAGCTCCTTGACAATTTTAAATTGAATACTCCTTATATTTCCAAGAAATAAAATAAGCTAATTCTCCTACTTTGTTCCTCTAGGGTTTTGTTTCATGGTAAGAATGCCTAGGCCAAGGCAGGGGAGGCTATGTATCTTTACAGCACTCTACTAGCACAATTAAGGACAAGAATATCTTCAAAACACTTTTCAGTTTGTCCATTTGGTACACCTTAAATTACCAAGTCCTTTGTGCTACCTTACATTATATAGTATATTCAAATTCACCTCAAATTTTGCTGCGATTCCTTCTCCAAAGTAGAGCTCACTAATTATTCTTTATGTGCTGGCACTGTATGTTACACTTGCATGTAGGTTTTTTTTTCCTTTTCAAATACTAGGAATTGAACCCAGAGCCTTATGTAGACTGCAAATACTGAAGCACTCTACAGTCCTGCATATAGTTTTTAATCACTAGAATGTCACAGGGAACAAGTAGTTGGGACAGAATTTTCTATTACAGAAATATTACAAAATATTACAAAAAGTAATAGTTGGATCCTTAGCTGACTGTCTGGTTCCCACTGCATTTTTGGCTTATCTCACCATCAGAACCAGCAACTATGGTCTCCCCTTTAGTTTACTGACAAATTTATCTTTCTTACTGATCCTTTTATGTTCTCCTAATCAAATTACTTTAATGTAGTGTATCTGTCTAGGCATACTGGCACATGGCTGTAATCCAAGCACTCGGAATGCTCAGGCAGAAGGAACAGGAGTTCAAGGCCAGCTTCATCTATATAGTGATATCTAGGTCAGTCTGGGCTACATGGCAAGAAACTGTCTTAACAAACAAACAAACAAACAAATTAATAATCCAAGTATTTTCAAGCACACATGATCATCTACCTTCCTTTAAAACTTTTCCAGCAAATACAATTTCTTTTCATTGTTTCCCACTCATCCTACTCCTTCTCCCTCCTTCTCCCCCTTTCTCTCACACATCCTGGTCTTGTCTGGTAGCTTTCACTTTGAGAGAGGAATCTTGGGTAAGAAAGCCCACATAGCATGCACAATGTTACCATAGAGAGCATGTAGATGGTTACATCAGTTCTTCTACGTTTCCTTAGCATTTGTTGGAAGAGGTTATATGTTAACATGGAAACCAGATAAAACATATAAATAATATCAAATCATATAAATAATCACATAAAATGATTGTCATATAGACTATGAAATTATATAAAAGATTCATAGAAAATGATCTTACATTTAGGAATAGAAATTCAATTTTCCAAAAATTGAATAAAATATTATTATTTGAAATAAAATCATGTTATTTGAAAAATGTTTTGGTGTTTAGCAGCTATGGACACTTGATCATGAAGTAAACAGTAAACATGTGCCCAGCAGTAAAACACAGAGATATCAGAGAAAGTAGACATGGAGTTTGACCTATTTTTATTGGGTCCTGTGTGGGCTGCTTCTAAACACACTTAGTTATGAGATTATTTGAGCCCAAATTCATTTTTTCTTCTTTGAAGCAAGCAGAAACATGGGGACATATTTCTTCTGGGAGTTGAAATCTGATTTATTAACTTTCATTAAAATGCCTTTTACATGTAGGAGTCTTTTGAGTAATGTGGTTTTACTCATTCTTGACAAAATGTAAGTAGTCTAAAACATTAATATAAATCACTACAAGTTTTAAAGGAAGGAAATCCACTACTGATTAAGCACGTACATGTTGTACAATCTTGATAGATGCCAGATTACTGGGCCCTGCCCTAAACCTACAAACTTAGAAACTGAGAAGGTGGGCCCAGACATCTATGTTTAAGAAGCTATCTAGGGGACTATAATGCACAAAAATTGAGAGTCACTAACTCAAAACCGTGTGCTTCAGAAGACAAGTTCAGGAATGTACAGAACAGCGCTGTTTGCAAAGGCAAAAAAATAAGTGGTGGTGGGGGGTAAAGACAAGAAAGGGTTAAGTAATCATAGTGTTTTCACTCAGCAGAAGATTACATAGAAGTTCAAATAAAGGGATGAAACTGTCAGTCTATTATGCAATTGTAGAACACCTGAGACAAGGTAACTTGTAAAGAACAGACTGTTCACTCACAGTTATGGAAGCTGGGAATATAGAACCTATGCAGTATCTGGTGTGGGTCTTGATGTCTCTTCACGTAGCTCAAGAGAGAAACCCACTTCTACAAGCCCAGCCTGCTCCACCTTTCTATAACAGTATCAATTCACTGATAAGGGCTGGTGAGTACTAGGACAATGAGATACCCTGTGTTCTATAGTGATATCCTTGAAATTGAAACATTTCTATCCCAGAGAGAGGCTGCTTAAGACTCATGAAGTAAACAATTCACAAATTTCAGGAAGTCCCTGAAACATATTAGATTTACAAGTCCCATTTCTGAAGTTATATAAGCAGTAATGACTGCTGAGAAGAGCATACTCTGACCCATCAAGCTACCTTCAGGTTCTGCAGAGCTCTCTAGGACTGCTGTTTTCTTGATTTGGCATCCAGGCTGGGGTGTGTTTCCTAGTGATGCAGCTGCCTTTGAGTCATCCATGCTTCTGTAAATAAGCCCTCATCTGTACTCATGTTGGTAGCTACAATACACCCATTGGTTTGCCAAGGTGGATTTTTGTAGAATTATTTCTTTGGTCCCTATCTGTCATTGGTTCCCTATCTGGGATGATCAGACATTTGTTTGTGCCTCCCTAAAAAAAAGCCTCACACAACACCCCCTCCCAAGAATAAGGTGGATGGTACCTACCTCTACATATACACTCACTCAAGCATACATGAACATGCTTCCACACCACAGAATTACTCTGACTAGGAACTGCAGGAAAATGGACTCCAACTTACATAAAATCTACTTTGATTTCTTCATTCCAACATGGATGAAATCCACTCGCAGTATTGGTTTGATAAATGGTGTGTTGAAAAGAAACTTCTATGAAAGGGTGCACAGTATCCTGAAATGCAGAGTAAACACTGACTGGATTTTTGTAATATCTTACATGATGGAGAAAAGCAAAAAGTTAAGAGATTATTTGGTAACTAGTTTCCTTGTTTAGTCATTAATTTAATGAACATTATTGGTCTTATGTTAGGCACTCTTCAAAGATCCAAAGGCAAATAGAATTTTTCCTTAAAGATTTGAAGTTTGCCAGGGAAAAATAAACAGACAAGTAAGTACCATGAAATGTAAGCAATTCAGCAAGAGAACCAGCTTGCAGCTGTGGGGTTCAGGAAAGGGCATGGGTGTGTTTCTGGGGTGAGGACCAGATGAACATCACAAAGAAAATCCTGCTTGAGCTCAGGCTTTGAAACACTGCTATGCTTATCTGGCTGAGCCCATGGAGATGGGTGGAGGCCATTCTCAGCCAAGGGAACAACTACTGGAAGCCAAGACAACATGGCTGGCAGAAAAAGAGCTAGACTATCAAAGATTCTGTGTGTGAGTCAGGAGCTTATACCTTGTTCTACAGGGCCTGAGAGCAGAGAACGAGATAATATGAATTCCATTCATAAATAATACCTTTATTTAGTTAATGCAAAATAACTGAAATCTGAGTAATGTAGATATGAAGAGACTAGTTGAGACCCAGGTGCAACTGAGAGCAATCAGCCAATACTGAACTTTATAAGATGTTAAGTACCTCATTTAAGAAGTCATTCGAGGCTACGCACTTGATAGCTTCTTGATGTCTGCGGTAAGACATGGATGACCTCGAGTAAGTAGGCGTATCCAAAGTTCTTCAGGAAAAACAACATCGAGACACGGTTTTAACATTAGTGTTGGTAAAGCAGAGGCAGGCTGATCTCTGTGAGTTGGAGGTCAGCCTGGTCTACAGGGAGTTCCAGGTTAGCCAGGGCTACACAGAGAAACCCTGTCTCAAAAAACAAAACAAAACAAAAAATATTAGTGTTGGTAGGCATGAGGATTACTCTGGATCTTAGAGAGGTGTGTGTGTGTGTGTGTGTGTGTGTGTGTGTGTGTGTGTGTGTGTGTGTGTGTGCGTGTTTGTTTTTTCTTTTCTTTTTGGTCTTATCACGTTGGCGATCATCACTGCTCTGGTGGAGTGGATCCTAACCACTTAAGTACAAGCTTGATCTAGTCTGTGGTAACATGATCACTGGTTTTCAGCACCAAGGGAACAGTGAACTAAGTGATATTTGGGGAATATAGTCTTCCTACTCTCTTTTGGTGTTAGAATATTTTCTTCTACAGGATGATGGCTCTAGAAAATGACAGAAATTTTATGTCCTTTCTTCACAAATAGATACTAAGATGTGCACTGGTTGTGAAAATTATTAGCTGTGTCAAGGAATAAGGTTGTAGTTTGTAAAACAAAGTAAAAACCTCTAAGGTTTTAAATATAAATTAACAGCCAGTAAGAAAAACGTCTGTTTTTCACAGATAGAATCCATGAGTTATACTTAGCTGAAAAAAAAGAAAGAAAAAAGAAAAAGCAAGCAGAGACCATATATGATAAACATGGAAGAGGAAATACCTGCTATTACGAGGACATTTGGGTAGTAATATTATATTTATCAATCATCCCTGACCCTAAATATCCATGATACATGTAATGAAATTGGTACTCAATATTCACAAGGCCAACATTTGGCCAGCCTTTGGTAGGTAATGTCTATTTTGGTCCCCAAAAATATAAATAAAATGTACTTGGTGCATACGGGAAAGAGAGGTGAAATCCCACTTTGGTAGAGTTACCTACAGACCCTAAGCAGAACAGGCTGTGGCTGTACTGACTCTGACCACACGAACCTTTCCACGTTTGAAGACTCCCTGAAACAAAATGTGTGTCCCATCTGCTTTTCCCATCTTTCTGATTCCGACACTGAGGGCACACCGCTGTGACAGTGAATGGAACGGCTGGCAGCAGAAACTTCTAAAACTCACAGTAGGGGACAGGGACAGACGAGAAGAACTCCCTTGGTGACACAGAAGATGCTAGGGTGGCAAGTGCCTCCAAGGCATGCACCGAGGCTACTCTGGGAGTCTCATACCCCTGAAATGTATTTGTTTGGTTTGGGCCAGGGCTTTGAGCACGTTATGCAAACACTCTACCTCTGAGCTATGACAGAAACTTTTACTATATGACATCGAGAATAGGTTTGACTATCCAAATGAGGGGTTGAAAGCTTATTCATTTTATGCATGTGATTTGTGTGTGTGTGTGTGTGTGTGTGTGTGTGTGTGTGTGTGTGTGTGTTAGACATTACACCCACAGCATTGCATGTACCAGGCAGGTGCTCCATCACTGTGCTACACATCTCCAGGCATTATGTCCTGAAACATTAATGAAATACAAAGTTTCACAGATGAAGTAATGAGGATGTTTAACATATGGAAGAGAGATCTTTGGCAGCTGCAGACATTGGAGCCCGTTACTTTACCTATGAGATATTTTTTTTCTGGTAGGAATGTTGTAGGCCCTCAGGATCCTGACCAGAATCTTGATATCTCCATCTGAGACAGTCTGTGCTGTGACCTTTCTTCTTTCTTTCCGCTGAGGCTTTAACTTCCTTCGTGGTTCAATGAACTTACAAATCGCATCTGTCAACTGGCTAAAGAGTAAAAAGAGATCAGCTCCATATACACAGAATAACACCGTTTTAAATACACTAGTGTTTACAATAATTGCTAATAAGTCCACTATTCAGAACCACATTGTGTCCATTATGGAAGGGGACAGAGCTCTTTTCAACTCAAAGTAGAAATCATTTCCTGAGCTTAGAAAGGAAGTGGTGCTAGGTCCCGAGGCTGGGTGCGCATATAATTGCTCCATTTCTTTGGTTACACACGCCAAAGTTTTATAGCAGCAAGATGAAGCTATAAAACATCTTTCACCATGATTATTATTACTTTTAAAAGCAAGCACTTTCTCAAAAATGACTGAATACCCCATATTCTCCATTGCTCTCAATCAGTTATTTGCCCATGCTAACAACCCAAATCCACAGATTACAGGTTGATAGTCACAGCAGTTTCTGTTCAAGGTCTGAAAATACAAGACAGTGGATTTCAGTATCGCACAGCAGTCAGACCATTACTGGTGATGCTGAGAATTTGCATGTACCCTCTGGAGGGGTTCAGACCCACTCCCGACTCTCCCCTTGGCCTTCACAGTGGGTGCTGGAGAATGGGGATAACCCAGCAAAGGCTCCACCATTTGCCCCTGTGCAGCTCAGGGCCCTGGCACCACTGAGGTGTTGAGATATTTGATTGCATTGTGAAACCCTGGGAATGTGTTAATAAAATCAACCTTGGACCAGAGGGTGGAACCAGCAACTAGTTGACAGGAATTAGCCTTCCAGAGTACAGAAGAGCCAGGAAGATGGATAAAGAGACACACAGGAGGGAGTAGGTAGGAACTTGGAGTTTCCTGGTCTTTTTTGGTTTGGGACAGCTGGAGAGATCCTCTGTTGCTGGTTCTCCAGCCAAAAAGGAGGGTGGTCTGGTTGCTTCTCAGCCTTTCTGAGCTAGCAGGTTTTAAAAATGGATTATGGATGTTTGTCTTTGTTTAGAATGTTGGTTACAAATTGTTATGGATAATGGTCAGAAAAAAAGCTAAACAAAGGAGATTAGATTCAGGGTTTTTGTTTTGAAAAGAAGAAAAGGGGAAATGCTGTGGGATAATGCTCTTGTACGCTGTAAAGATTTGTCACTCCCATTGGTTTAATAAAATGCTGATTGGCCAGTAGCCAGGCAGGAAGTGTGGGTGGGGTGACCAGACTAGGAGAATTCTGGGAAGAGGAAAGGAGAGACAGGGTCGCCAGCCAGATGCATAAGAAGTGAGATGAGAATGCTGGACTGAGAAAAGGTACCAAGTCACGTGGTACATAGACAAGAATTATGGGTTAATTTTAAGAGCTAGTTAGTTATAAGCCTGAGCGATAGGCCATAGCAGCTTCTTTATTAACCAATGGTAGCAACACGTATTCACAGTGTACAGAAAGACGTCCACCCCATGGCCGCTTCCACCACAACACCTGACTCCCGAGTCCTTATTGGTCAACAGAATGATAGAGACCCGGTGGAAATATCACAATGCAGGGAGGTAGGACTCTGTATATGCCACAACGGATGATGTGAAAATGAAAAAATTAAACGAAGGGATAACTGACTTAGCTGGGATTGACATAATGTCAATTATAATTACTATCAGTTTGGTAATTCATGTTTTATCCTTTAAAAAGTGATTTGATAACTGTGCCAATATGAAAAATTGGCTGATAAGATACAAGCCTTAGAAAGACCTACTAATGAAAATAAGAAAAAATATTCAGACACTGGCAGAGGAATTTAAATGAGGACCTACCATACCACTGCATAATGAAACTGAAGAGGGGCAATCCAAGGTTATTAGAAATCCAACCTCAGTTTATCCAGTTACTATACAAGAATGACCAGGAGACAATAGATACCCCCAAGGTTGTGCAGAAGTTAAATGGAATCCTATAGAAATTTTTGGATTTGAGGAGATTTAAGGAAGCAGTCATTTCATAGGGTATACATTCACCCTATGTGAAGCAGATGTTAAATTCATGAGCAACTCAGAACAGAATTATCCCCCAAGACTGGAAAGATTTAGCTACAGCAATATTGGAAGCTGGTCCTCAGTTACAATAGTGAAAATGGTGGAAAGAGGAAGCTAGAGCCATAGAGCAATGAAATAGGGCTAGAAGTATGGATATTCCCAAGATCAGTTTCTTGGTGAAGGCCAGTATGCTGATTTGCAAAAGCAGTTTGGATTTGATAATCATGCCTTAGCCCTATGCCATTTAGCAGCTTTGAATGCTTAAGACAAGGCTGAAGAATCAATAAAGAGGACTGAGTCATTTACTAAAATTAGACAAGGCTGAAAAGAAACATTTACTGATTTTTTTTTTTTTTTACAAAGATTGACTTGAGCTAGAAATAGAATAGTATCAGATCCAGAAGTTAGAAAAATATTAATTGAATCTTTGGCTTTTAAAAATGCTAATTCATAATGCATAAGGGTGATGAGGCCTTTAAAGGCAAGATTAGCACCAATAGATGAAATACAGCTGATGGACTGGAGAGATGGCTCAGTGGTTAAGAGCACAGACTGTTCTTCCAAAGGTCCTGAGTTCAATTCCCAGCAACCACCCTTCCAAAGGTCCTGAGTTCAATTCCCAGCAACCACATGGTGGCTCACAACTACCTGTAATGATATCTGGTGCCCTCTTCTGGCCTGCAGGGACACATGCAGACAGAACATAAATAAATATTTTTAAAAAAGAAAAAAAGAAATACAGCTGATGTTGGATTTCACGCTTATGATGTTACTTTGATAGGAGACATGACTTCCCAGCTGGATCAAGAACAGAGAGGGAGAACAGGGAATAGGAGACCATGGTAAATGAAGACCACATGAGAATAGGAAGAAGCAAAGTGCTAGAGAGGCCCACAGAAATCCACAGATACCCCCACAATAGACTGCTGGCAATGGTCGAGAGACAGCCCTAACTGACCTACTCTGGTGATGGGATGGCCAAACACCCTAATTGTCATGCTAGAAACCTCATCCAATGACTGAGGGATCTGTATGCAGAGATCCACTGCTAGGTCCCAGGTGGAGCTCCGGGAGTCCAATTAGCGAGAAAGAGGAGGGTTTATATGAGCAGGAATTGTTGAGACCAAGGTTGGATAAAGCACAGGGACAAATAGCCAAACAAATGGAAACACATGAACTATGAACCAATGGATGAGGGGCCCCCAACTGGATCAGGCTCTCTGAATGGGTGAGACAGTTGATTGGCTTGATCTGTTTGGGAGGACCCCAGGCAAAGGGAACCGGGTCCTGTGCTCATTGCATGAGTTGG